ACTGTGCAGAGATTTAAGAGTATTATACAGTACTGTATAGTACACAGAACTGGACATGGAGTTAGAAGTACTACACAGTAACGTACAGTACCCAGAACTGTGCAGAGATTTAAGAGTATTACACAGTAATGTATAGTACATAGAACTGGGCAGGGATTTAGAAGTATCATATAGTAACGTATAGTACACAGAACTGGACATGGAGTTAGAAGTACTACACAGTAATGTACAGTACCCAGAACTGTGCAGAGATTTAATAAGAGTATTACACAGTAATGTATAGTACACTGAATTGGGTCAGGATTTCTGGTATGGTACATTACCTCCTTTCACATAAGTAGCTATTCTTGTTCAATGCTACCTTCTATTTGGAAAAAAAGATTTTCTCATGCCACAAGCCTTGAGCTCCCACGAACCTTACATTTGACTGATTCACATTAATCTCGCATGCAAATCATCATGCGACAACCCTCTACCAATAATAGTGTGACACACTTTCCTGATACATGTAACTCCGTCTATTCAATTCTACCAAACTAGTACTTCTCGTTTGGCAGTACTCATGTCAAAACGTTTTTTTTTGTGTGTGCTCTCTGAATTTAATCAACTTTGATTTTTTTAGTGATTATTCTGAAGTGGATTTTATTTTTTCAACAGTTAGTGACTGTATTGATAACTTGTGTTTGATTTTTAATTTTACACAATGAATTCCAAAGGTAAAGTTACCACTTTAGATATACCTTCTACTTGCACACTCACACAAGCTACAGGTAGGGGTGACTTGTCTTTGTATTTATTGGCTGTCATTCACCGTGAGATTGATTGTTATGTTAGTCAACCTGCTTCTCCTAATTTTGCCCCTATTCCTCCTGAACATGCTGAACCTTTTTGGGTCAATGAGGATTTTGACAGCCTTTTACTGCCACCTGATTTTGCCATATCTTTTTATGCCCATACTATGGAATCAGCTAGGCCTAATATGGCTTTTTTAGACGTGATTTTGCAGGTATGTTCTATTTTATCCATTTCCCCAAGTTTGTATAATCCACATATTCTTTGTTACATGATACCTCCTCCTCTCAGTAGTTGGTTTTCCTCCCTTCTCCAGATATTAGGGTTCATGCTGAGCATTTTGTTTTTCAGATGGTTGAGAGTGCCAGCAAGCCTTGTCCTCCATGGGCTTTGGATCAGTTTGCCTGGGCCTACAATCAGTCTGAATGTCCATTTCTCGACTCTCAACTGCTAGAATCGACTTTGCCTGTGTGTGGGGCAGACTCTGATCATCCTGTTTGTTTTTCCGCCTTCGTCTCACCCTTTCGACTCTCCTACTATACTTGTCTACTATCCACCTCTTTTCCGAGGTGATCAACAGAGATCCTGAGGGTTTTTTGAGGGATTGCCTCTCCCTGATTACCTCCATGTTGGCACATTTGTCTTATTGAGCTCTAGTCTTACACACATGTTTTTTCTGTTTACTGCCTCCTTATCTCTGGGACTTGCTTATGGCTCCTTTTCTTCAGCAGTATGATTTTAGTAATATTCCTAAGACTTTTGCCAGTAGCCATTCTTCAGACTTCAGTGAGACTGTGACTGGGTAAGTTATTTTTTATATCTATATCTCTTCTTTTTCAGGGGCTTTTCCCTTTTTCTTTTTTTACACTGTTTGGATCCCTCTTTGTGTGAGTGATACCTGTCTCGGTATTCTTAAAAAATAGTCAAATTTGCACTGTAAGGCCATTATGACCGAACAATTATAAATTCCATATAAATTCCACTAAATGCACACTGCTGAGATGGGGTGTTCCACAAGATTGCTTGTATGTTTGACCTTGTGATATATTTGCTTCATTAATATGCTCATCCCAGACCGTACTCGCCCATAGCTGCCCATCTCTGCCATGTCTTAGATTGAATAAATCAGGTGTGGTCTCTTTTTTTCAGAATAGAATTTTTGTGGTCACCCATTGCATTGTCTTAGATGTTGTCATTCCTCCAGACTTTCCACTGCAATTTTTCTCCCTTTTTTCTTCCAGTGGAGTATGGGAGTCATTACCACTTTCCAGTTCCAAGCTACTGGGGTGGTGGACCATGGAAGCATCCTACTGAATGTAATAATGATAAAACCATTCAGTTTAGAGTAGGGCAGTGGTGTTCTGTGGGTTTAGATGATATGTTCTTCACTATGTATAATTGGAGTGAACCATCAAAATTGCAGTTCACCCCTTTGATTTGGATTCCTCATCCTAAACCCACGTGGATGGGTTTTGGATTTAGAGCTGAACCGATCAGCATAAGTCCTCACACGTGTATAACAAGTGTGTCTATTTCCTCACTCAGTTATGCTCTTGTTCCTCCATCTGTGTTGTGGGTCATGATGGAGGTACTTGCAGATTAATATGCTTCTTCCTCTTACACAATCCCTCGATGATTTTATTATATCGAGGATGTTATTGCACTAGGGGTGGTTCCTGTCAGTTTGGTTTTGAGTGAGATGGTTTACATTACAAAGACATCTTTAAGAGACTGGAAATCGGATTCCTAGATTGGTCGATCAGTTTCTCACATTGCTAACATGTGTCCTG